CGAAGAAAGAAAAAAAAAGAATTTCTCCGGAAAAAAAAGAAATGCAAGTATTAGATAGTGATGACAGACTAATTTTAGAAACAAAACAAAGTACTGAAGACAAGCCTGAAATAGAGGAATTAAAAATAGATAAATCGTCAGAAATACCGGGTTCTAGTAAAATTGACTTAACAAAAGATATTAAAGAAACAACTGCGGCATTTCCAAAAGATAAATCTTCAGATGATGAAAAAAAAAGTTTAAAAAAGGATTTTATACATAAAGCAGAAGATATTATGAAAGAATCTGAATTGTTAGGATTTCCTGAACATATAAAAGAGGAAATCAAATATCCAAAAATTGAAATTAATGATAATAGTAAGAAAATTGAAAAGATAGATCTAGCAGAAGATCCAATAAAAAATCATAAGAGGGAAGATGTCAGTTTAGACAAAGAAGAAATTTTTCATAAAGAAGAAGAGAAAGAAAATGGCCCAAAAAATGAAATCGATGACCATCATACTAAGAAGACTCTTTTAGACGAAGCAAAACCTACTGAAACTGAAAGACAAGATGATAAAACAGATGACCAAATTAAAAGCGATTTCCCAGAGAAAGAGACTATAGTGGACGAAGTAAAAGGATCAATTGCCGAAGTAACCAGTGGCATTCATTTAATTGGTATAGAAGCTACTGCTCCAAACACAGAAGATGTACTTGAACAAAGAAAGGAATCTTCTGAAGGTATCGAATCGTACGATACCAAAATAAGTGATACAGAAGGTAAATCTACAACAATAGAACAAACCGTTGAGGAAAAAGCCGAATCTACTGCAGAAACAAAAGTCAAGGATGAAGTTATTAAAGAGGAAAGCATTGTTCCACACAAAGAAGAAGAAATTATTTCTAGCCCAATAAGTCAAAGTAAAGAGGAAGGAAGTGCTTTTTTAGACAAGGAAGCAGCTTCTGATAAAAAGGAAGAAGCTGCTTCAGAAAAGATAGAGATTGACGACCTCAAAATTAGTGAACAAGAAAAAATTATTTCCGATGAGGATAAAGAGCAATATCTGAAAGCAAAGAAGGCAGAAGATACGAAAGAAAGTGAAGAATATGAACAAATTGGAGAAGACAAAGACATTTTTAAAAGTAAAGCAGAAGCTTCTCCAATGAAAGACCAAGCAATTATCGAAAAAGTGCAAGTTAACGACGAAATTAGTCAAAAAGACGGTAATGTGGGAGATATTTCAGCAATTAAAGAAGATGAATTCACCAGTGAAGATAAAATTGATCGTCCGAAAACAGAAGATACCACTTTAAGGATATCCTGTGTCAGGGAAGAAAGCAAAGAAGAAGAAAGACAGAAAGAAGATTTTTTGGAACCCCTTGTAATTGAAGAACACGGTGTAAAAAAGGATGAAGTTCTCATAGAAGAGCTTCCATCTCCTGAAATCACTTCTGAAGACAGTGTTAAAAAAGAAGTACCACCAGAGAAACTGGAAGATAAGTTAAGCGAATCGGAAAGTGTTTTTTTACAAGTGCCTGCAGTGGTTCATTTATTCGACAATAATTTAGCGAGCAAAGTAGAATCACCCACTGACAGTATTGGAAAAGAATCTAAAATAACTGAATCTCCGGTTCACTTTGACAAAGATACAATGGAAAAGAAAAATCTTACTACTGATGTTCAAATTGTTGATCATAGGGAAGTCCCAAGTATCGACAAACCCTTTCATTCCGAAGTACTCAAACTGCTAAAACAAGCGGAGGACGAACGAATCACGAAAGCCATCGAAGAAAAAATCGAAACAGATAAACCTCCTGCACCAGAGGATAAGGAAACAAAAAGTATACCAACAGAATCAATCGAAATAAAAACTACAGAAAAACACGAGGAAAGTAAAAGCACTGATGAAAGATTAGAAGAATCATCTATCGATAAGATAGCATCGACAATTGAAACAGAAGAAACCGAAGATCGAGGGAATGTATCGGAGCAGCAAATAGGACTGGTCTCGGAGACACTCGAAGAAACTGCGGAACTCGAGGAGCCGCACAACGTGAGAGGAGACAGGAAACTAGCAGAAACTAACGCAAAGAAAGATGAGCGGGACGGATTTCCAAGCGGCGGCTCTCACGGCATTGAACTGTTTCAAACTTCCACGGCGACGTCCGAGGGGACAACGGAAGGGAAGTTAGCGTTAGATTTCATTACACCGGAAACTCCAATAGATTCTACGAAAATATCCGAACCAGAAAAGCAGTCGCAATCCGAGTACGAACAAATTGAATCACCGAGAGCAGGGCGTTCCGAGGAATCAAGTTCTGCTTTGGCGGAAGAGAGCATGGAGCCGTTTCCGGGCGACGAAAACGGGAAGCGAGAAGCGCCGACGGTTTCTGAGGACGGAGTCGGCGAACAACGTTCAGCGGATGAAACGAGAACTTTGGATGAAAAAGATACGACTGGAGAAGGGAGAACGGATGTTATTGCCGGCGAGGAATGCACAGACGTAAGCCTGCCACTTTTTACCGAAATAATGCAAACGGCGGACGATTTAGATGACAGTGACTCATCGAGTGATATTTCCAGGAAGACCACGTTGACCACTAGACCCTACCAGACGCCGAGACATCGCAGCCGACAGTCGCCGGAAAGAGAAAATATTCAAATGTCGGGGAGCGCTGAAGCGCAAAATTTCGAGGACGATGACATGTTGCTGACGATAGAGTTGGTGAAAGGAGATGATCTAAAATCTCCGAGTGAAGCTGCGAAGGATGAAGACACTGGAACGGATTTGAAAGCGCAGACATCGATCAGACTCGAAGAAACAATGGACATGGGAAACGAGTATGCTAGGAAAGAAGAACGCACGATGTCCACTTCAGAATTCGATGAAGAATCATCAACCACCTTGAGGAATATGAAAGACATCAAGGAAGAATCTTCCATGAAAGAATTAGATGAAACATACGTTGAGCCGTTAGCACTGCCCAAAGGTACCAAGTCAAACGCTTCAAAGCCTACCGAAAAAAAAGGCAAGGTGTCAGAGAAAAGAAGACTTCCGCCACAAAGAAAGAAAAAGAGTTCTTCCGAAGAATCATCCGAAGAGAAAGCTCTTCATCTGCACGAGCAAGCTGTCCAAGCTCGTTACAAGCCTCGTAGGAAGTTCGAAAGCGATCAGGCGAAACAGAAGTACGATCGGTCGAAGCCTAGGAAGACGGACGAGGAGCAACAAGCAAAACCAAGGATCGACAAGAAGACAGACAAGCATCCGACGCTGTCGAAGGGCAGCGAAATTGACACAAGCAAGACGCAACCGAAGTATATGGCTTGGTACAAAAAGAATCGCGAGGAGATGGAGAGAAGAAGAGCCGAGCTGAAGGCGTCAGATGACGAGAGTCAGCTACCTAGGTGGCTGAGAAGGAGCATGCGAAGTCAGAAGGCTGATAAGGAGGAGAAGAAAAAATTAGAAAAATCGGAGCATCCGGCAGCGACCTCGCGAGCTAAACGGAAGGTTAAACCGCTAGTGAACGTCGAATCGGAGCAATTGAAGGCGATCGTTCGGCAAGGAAGAAAGCTGAGGAAAGCAGAGGGAGGGAGGAACCAGGATCCACCTGTTCAGATATTTGCAGCGGCGCCGCCTGCAGCGACCGACGCCAAACACCACCTGGTGCAGCACTCTGAGTATAAATACGAGAAATTGCCGACGCCATTTTACCTTCATCCACCACCTGCTCCTCACCCGTCACCACAATTGTCCCCGGAACATTTCGAAGTTCAAGTACCGGTGCAACACAGCGAAGAGTTTGACTCCGCGATCGCGATACCGTTGCAAGGTGGAGCCAGATTAAGGCATCAACAGCTTTTGGAGAAGAAAAGCGTCTTTGATATAGCGTACAGCGAGGCCGCGCCATCGCAGCTACGGGCTGATAGCACTACTCCGCCGTCTTAATCCTTAGCTGTCGATAATATTTATTTACCTCAACTATGAAACCGGAAAATATTACGTGATAAAACTTTTAATGTAATTACATTGAAGATATATCTTAAACTATACAAGATAAACTGTATAGCAAGTGGAATTGAAAACGAGATTTTCTAAATTTCGTAAAACAATAGAATATTGGTCGATAGGTTTTTAATATGACAGAAGAAAAAATATATCTCAAACCATAGTGAGTATGGCGAGTGGGATTGAAAACATTTTCTAAATTTGATAAAACAATAGAATACTGGCTGGTAGGATTTTTAATACGATAAAATAGAAGATATATCTCAGAATTATGATAAATAGAAATGGAAATAAAATTTATTTAATTTCAGCATAGAGGAGTCTTTCGATTGTTAAGGGTTAGAATTTGACAGTTCTTGAGACATAACACCCTGGTATACATTACGCACAAAATGCAAGGTTAAATTGAGGGTAGAAAATTGTTGACAACGAATGGTAGATGTCACCATAGAAATCTATGTGTAGTATACAATATGTTTACATATTTATCGGAAAAAAAATTAGATCGTGTTTAGAAGAATGTGATGGAGAGCGATGCACGGTTGCATATATTATACATGAACAAAATGTTACGAAAAGTTTAAGTAATAAATTCATCGACATCTTTATTTAATATTCACCAAAACGAGTAAAAATATATTACGGTTTATATAAATATTGCGAGCATTGAATCCGTGGTGAATCATCACTACGATGCCAGAATGTTTTAAAGTTTATTTCTTAACGAACTTATACATAGGTAGAAGTAGCTGATAATGGTACATATCATGGAAATATGTTTGTTGATTACATGTATGGTTGTGTAGAAATCAATTTCAATATTAATATTTAATATTAATAGCTTATAATATATTCATAGATTTCATTGAATTGTTTACTTGAATCATTCGTTATAATCTGTATACAAATATTTAATGCAAAATACATATTTTATATACTTTATTTAATTAATTTTGATGTAACGGACGTTGTTCAAAGTAAGAAATGATTATAGTTATATCTTACTGCTATTCATTTATTCGGTCGACTTCTGCAAATCGTAAATTTATTTATTAATTTTATATTACTTAATATAACTTTAAAAGTTTTTAATGACCCGTGTAAAATAGTATCTACAATTACTTTAGTTGCTTTAACTTACCGCTACTTTGCAAACACTATTACTGTTGAATAAACTTTCCTTATTTTATAAGAATTAAAGTGAAATGTCTTTCGTGCAATCCTTTCACAGGACTGTAAAACTGATACCATAATTTATGGATACTATAAATTATACATATTTAATATAGTTTTGGAAACGTTATGACTGCCATCCGAGAAAGATGACCAATTTTTCATTGCGATTGTTAATCCAATGCTACGATATTTATAACTATCTTGTAAATATATGCATGTAAAATCTATTACCAGACTTTTCTTATCAATTCAATTATTTTAAAATTCCTTTTCGTACTTCCCAAATATTTTCGTTAACCAGGCAGGGAAATGACTATTCCTATTAATAAGAATTTAAATGCCATTAATCGTAAATATTATCTATACATTTATGTTATATAATTAATAATAATAGCTAACATTTTGAAAATTAATATTTCTTAATGATATATTTAACTTTAATTCTAAAGTTGCTATGATTACGTACAAGTAATTTTTACCATTTTCAAAAATAATCAAAATTTATCATTTCTTTTTTACATTGGGGAATGCACTTTGTAAATTTGCAAATATACGTATACTTTTTTTTAAATACATATACATATACATATAATAATAAATATGTATTTAAAAAAAAAATAATGTCCAGACTTTTGTAAGTACTGTACAGTTGGAATACCATGGAGTCGATGTCGAACGAGTTCTCCTATCGGCCGGCCACTGATCTTCGAGTAGGCGTAGTGGGGTGAGCACACTACATATAATCCTTCGTGTACACGTATAGAAAGAACACAACGATATGTTCTGTGACGTATATTGACGACACATGACGACATATGACGTTACCGATGCAACTAACCTACCGTAATCGAGACCATAATGGTGCATCAAACATAACCGGAGACTGGTAAATCTTTGTATTGGGAAAACAGGAATAGCATGTTGGTTAACCCACTGTGAATCGCTGACGTGCGAAATGGACGATGGCAATGGCTGAAACGTGACCTGTAATGTATTTCGACAATGTTATATAAAACTTTGCAAAATGCAACGCACCCTTCTCAGAACACACAAAAATAATCATCACGAATAATAAAATGATTCTATTGTAAAAATTAACATGATTTTGTTTAGCGTCTTTCAATCTTTTGTGTAAATAAATTAAATTACTTTAAATCAATTTTAAGAGAGTGTAAATTTATGTTATTGTTTTAGATAATGAATTTTGTTAGATATTTAAAGATTACATTAAATATTCTTTGATATTTTTGCAAAATAATAATTCTATGTTATTGTTGATAAAAGTTTATACATTTGTTAGTTGTATTGTTTGTGTCAAAATTGAATTACATATAAATGAAGTTTCTCTGTTAACTTATTATACAATTTATGTGGTCTGAGTAAATTGTTGTCCATTATATTCTTATTAAATGCAAATAAATGTTGGATATATATAGTCAATATATGCTGTACTTCATTAATTGTCATACTAAACATTATAAAATGGCGCACTGATTCTGTCATTACATGCACCGACAGATAGGAGACGAAATACCAATTTTTACGGATACTCTCCTACTATCGCGGTACCTTATCAACCGGTTATTTGCGTCAAATTGAGTTCGCAAAACCTGTACAAAGAGTTTAAATGTTTAACATACTTAAAAACATTTATCTAAATTTTATGCCGCTAAATAACAAATATAATAACATGAGATTATTACGGTACGAAATGCATTTCGTTAACTTTATTTTTAAGTAATTAATTAAATGACAAGAATTTGTATAACGCGTCCTATAGAAAGTGTCACATTAAAATATCTGTATAACATTATATAAAAACAAATTGCCCTGAAAAATAATTAATTAATACTATTAATTTATGAATACAATACTCATTCAATATATTGAAAATAGATAATAATAAAATAATTATTATCGAGATAGCTGTATAAAATTAATTCATTATTACGTAATATTATATAAATATTGTAATAATATTCACATAACAATATATTACGTAAAATTTAACTAATATTATGTCTGTCAACTAATTTCATATTAACGTATCCGATGAAAAAATAATGTAAACACGCACTCTGAATTTTATAAATTTCACTATTGTTACATAAAATAATACGCGGCAACGTGTAACGTTGCCTTTACATCGTGTTACAAGATCGTTTCCGTTATTTTACAATTATTAATATGTTGCAAATAAGCAACAAATAATGTATAAAACATTTATGACAACGATTTCAAGGCATCCCCGGTGACTATTTGGCAGGTAGTTCCCCGGCTTCCCTTTGCTGTCGCGCAATTAAAATATATGATAGCGGACGCGATGTATTGGTCTTTGAACAATAGGTAAATGTTAATTGTTGTTAATAAAGAACACACATGTTGCTGATGCAACGGCGAGCAGAGCTGCGGAAGAGGCTGCACCTGTAACACCAGTACACGAAACGCAAACACACCTGGAACCTTTGACCTTTTCATAGACGCTGGATTCTACCCCTCTCCTCGTCTGCCACCCCCATTCCCTTTCCCTAGCCCTTTCCCCGCCCGCTGCACTTCGGTGAAAATGTTGCACCGCATGCAACGCTGTGTAAATCGGATACCACCTCTTGGTACCAGAAGTACAGAATCCACTTTGCTACCCTAATGGTACATTTTGAAGGAAAAAGGGAGCACATGATCGTGATGCAAGGTAATGCCCAAAGGGTTGAATATATTAAAAAAGGGACTGTACAACATATAATTGTGGCGTAACTTGTGGGTTTTTTAAGCGATGAATTTCTTTCGAGGGAAATAGGGGAGAGCAGATTTGAAGAAGTTTATACTGGAAGATGAATAGACACTCTTTCTAAATGCTGCTGTCAGGTAGAGTTTACAAACACCCGTCTTCAGTATCTAAAAGTGCGTTATAAAACCATACCATTTTTATTTGAAACGAAATTGATAAATAAAGATATAAATATACACTCCGAGGAAAATGTTAAGCAACTTTAATAAGTATATTAAATCGAGGATATATGCAAATGAATATGTATATGTACATATATCCATAACTATGTTATGAGATATGCGTAATTTCCAAGTGACTCATTTGCTGAATACATGGTTAGCTTAAATAATGGCGAACAATCACTGTTCTTTAACTGTAATCAGCATAAGCAGTACCGTAAATTTGTGGTTCTATAATAGAAGTTTCTTGCTTCATACAAAAGTCACTGGACACTTCATAAATGATGAAACTATAAAATTATCAAATACTACGTTATCAATCGACCAGAAAGGTAATAAGCAAGTCATATAAAAATTGAATCATTAAAATAAGAACGAGAAAAGAATTTCCAAAGTTTACTCGAGGCACGAAGGCTCTAGATTCGCCCCTGGCTCACACGTACACGCCAACACGAGAACCGTATAATTATCGAAGAAAGTACCTAGCAGTTTTCGCAGTGCTGAGTCCTAGATCGGTTGAGGGAGTTGGCCCGCGCATCAATAGCCATCAATCATCTCAAAATTTCGGCAACGCGCTGGACAACACGGGCGGCAGGGTACTATCACAAAAGTAGAGTTCTCCGGGACCAAACCGGTGCGAAGAGATGGTGGCGAGGGGCCAAGGGGTCAAAGAGGAGGGACCAGGAGGAACCCGTTCGATATCTCCGAAAACGCGGGCTAACCGAGTCATGCTGGCGCGAATTCCGGCACTGGGACTACGTTGTTGCGGGTATGCTATGCTGTGATGCTGGGTCTCGTGGATGTGCGTGAATGTATGTCACTAGTATAGAAATTGACCGAGGTACCACATGTGAATGCACCAACGAAAATAGATTAGAATGGGAACCGCGATAGCGAAGATACAGATAAGAGACTTGCAAGATAAGCAAGTTGCAAGTCAGGTTACTTTTGTTGCTTGCATTATTTATCATTGGTCATTTTAATATTCAATATTTGTTACTTGGAGAGCTAATGTGTAGTTACTGAATATTCGGTGCTTCAGGAAATGCCTGTATAGTGTTGATAATAGGGGATGGGATTAAAAGATATTATTTTTAGGAATAAAATTACATTTTAGGAATACTACTTGTAAATTCGGGAATATTTTATTATTGATGGCAAGAAGAAATTGATAAGCGTAATTACATATTTCAGTAATAGGGATTATGAAAATAGTTTCTTAAAATTTAATGTTATGACAGAAATTAATGAAATTAATGCTCAGATTAAACAGATAAGACAAACGTTAATTTTTAGTTTTAACGAATTGTTTTAACGAATCATGGAATAAATTTTGTATGATTGCGAGTAAATTTAATGTGTGTTATATACGTTAATTTAAGGTAAGAAATGATTAAACTGAAAGGAGCAACGTGTACGGAACCACCCGTATGACAGTATTTGGGCACATACTCAAGTATGGTAGATAAGTGAATGAACCTCTTCTAATTCCTGGTATCTTAATACGACGACGACAGTCCGCAGATGACTCGCGCAGTTCGTGCGCATGTAAACATGAATTACCACACGGCCAAGCGTGCGACATACAACATAGTCCATAGTAACGCTGGTGCTCACTCGCCATTTTTACGCGCAGCTTATTAATAGAAATCATGATATATGCATAAAAACTGATGAATTTAAACTGTAAACTCAATAAATAATGAGTTATTAAAATATACTATGTACAGTTTGTTAAAAAAAATACTTGAATAAAGAATTGATTTGTATTATTTTTTCCGATAACTTGTTTATAGAATTATAACATAAATACAAGAACATTTATATGCGAATAATTAATTTGTACTTCAATGTTTATTAAAAGTGAAAGCGATTACTGAACATAATTGAAAAATATGTTAAAATAATTATTAATATTTAGACGGTTCTATTAATTCAACAACTTTTAAAGCTACAATAAAATTGTAATGAGTTAAAAAATTTTACAAAATATTTATATTTGAATTATTGTTTAACACGTCCGCTAGGAGTGCTTATTTCGCTGACGGTTTCCTCAATTATAATATTTTCTTCAATCCAATAAATCTACACAAAATATTAGAAAAATAAAGCTGTAACGAGTCATTGAGTTCCTAAATATAATGTCGTAGTTTATAATTTCTAATAACAATATCTATAAGATTAATTTCATTTTTATTATGTAAAATGTAGGATTATGTCGCAAACATGTGCCGCTGATAGTGAACATGTGAAGTACGTTTGAATTTCTCGTGTGATTCAGGCACGTTCTGTTACGGGCTTGGAGCAGCAGCGCGTGAAATCGTATTTATGTGGGATTGAAGCTACACGAAGGGTGGGGAAAACGCGCGTGAAGAGGGGAGAAAGAGAGGATGCCATCCGCCTACAACCGTATAAGGAGCCCGCGCTTCTACCAGGAGAATATACAGCACGAGTGGATCGTGTATTACTAGCTGAATTTCCTGAACTCCTACTGTTAAGACCACGTGTTCTCTCGACGCGATCGTTCCGTCAATGACGGCGTAGTACTCATCGTGCGCGCAACCTCCTGACTAATCATGCGAGCCTGGTGTGTATAAGTTGAGATTAGAATGCACGTGGTCACCCGTCCGGAATCTTGACGCAATCGCCAATCGCAGAAGTATATAATATTATCTTAATAATGCAGCCGTTGTAACAATAAATCACTGATATGTGATTATGCACAAGAATATGTGCATATTCTCATACAATGGAAAAACGTATAGTACATTTTGAATAACATTCTTACATTACTAAAATATTCTTTAACAAAAAAATACATTTACTCGTGCAATTGAAGACTAAAAGGTACGCTTGTACTCTTTTTTATAAATTTGTTAAATAATTACTTTGTAGATAATCTGCTAGCTCTTTAAACCAATTCCTTTTGCACTATTTTTAATAAAGAGTTAATGTTACAAAAATTGTAAATGCATTCAAAGGAAGAAGTATAATAGGTTATAATATTATGGTAATCGTATCTTCTAGGCATAATTTGAATACGCCATTGCACCACATTTGGAGAACAATAAAAAATGCTAAAAATTAACCATCCAAAAATGGTATTCAACAAGTAAATCCAATGGGAAGGAACCAAAAGATACAGGCGAAAAAGTTAGAAATTATTCAGGGTTGGCTCGTGAGAGGGTAACTCGGCCATTTTCAAACGTGGCCGACGCGCTCGAAAGATCATAAACGACCAAGAAGCGTTACTACTGCATAGGCGGGGGATTCCCCGCTGTTACTATGTTTCAATTGCCGTGTAGCGAGAGAAGGGGGAGGGTGTAGACAATAATATACAGTTATGCATGGTGTTTTTCATAATTCCTGCAGCGATATGATCGCCTGGTGGTAAATCCGCGACTCGCGGAATCCTTGCGGTGACATTACGCGTCGTTCCACGAACAGATCTGTGGTTCTCGTCGCCGAAGATGCGCGGAAAAAGGCAACGGCTGGTCTTCGGCCGCGATTATGTTCCGATACACGCGTACGGTTATCGTTGACACTCGCCAAGACTCCTCACCTGCCCATCAAAAGACGTGAAGTCATCCACATTGGCCAATCGGGGAACCGGCTAGCATGTAGCCGAAGAGGTCGCGTTCGGCCCCTTGGCACACTGTAACCGGCGCCACATGCACCTCCTAGCGGCTCATGCTCGCCTATTAGTTACTTGGCGAAATGTGGACGCCTTTCGGGAACTGTTTTTCTTGGCACCCTGAAGTGTACCCCGGGTGCGACCAATTACCTGAAAGGGCATACACCGGGAAAACAAAGGAGTCACGGTAGCCAGCACTGGCGCATACGCCTCAGCGGCTACCACTGGAATCTGGAAAACACGATGGAAACTGCTTTATCTGGTGCGGCAGTCGATAAGCTGATTTCTGTGATATTGGTGCACGGCACATGGAACTCGCGTTGCCCTTGAGTTTTTCGGAATTGGTTGCAGGGTTTTTAATTTTTAAATTAAAATAAGTTCTTAGTTCTGTTTTTTAATATTTTAGGATCGAGGTAAAGTGTAGAGCTGAGGAAAATTGTTATGATCTTTTATTAAGGGATAGGAAAAGATAACGCGTTGAAGACGAAGAACAATAAGATGATTTATTAGGATTTGAAAAGTGCAATATTCATAAGCTTTCTGTCCAGTTTTTAGGATCGAGATGAAATGAAATGTGAAAGTGGGGAGAATTATTTGTATTTTATTAAAGGGTATGGAAAAATAACACGTTACAAAAAATAAAGAATGAAATATTTGGTTGAAATGACGTTTAAAAAGATATTTATAAATCACATAGTATCCTCTTGTTAATCGTCGTCGTCGTCGCTAATAATTGCCCGAGATGACCCCACTCGAGTAGGTTGTTTTTCAATCGTCTCGTCTTCCTCGTCGCTAATTATCAACTTGGCGTGTTTCAGCTCGGTGTTCAGAGACGGTAATGGCTCTTCTTCTTCATCGCTGTCCAACAGACGACGTTTTTTCGTTGTCCCGTGCTCGTTTTCTGAACCATCCGAGCGATCTCTTTTTCCTTCGTCTAATGAAAATATTTATTTAATGGGCAACAATTAAATCGCATCATTCCTTTCGCAACAATTATCTTATTTCGTTGTTGTTCCATTACCTTCGGCATCCTCGAGATTGGTCTTCTCTTCGTGTTCGGAGTCGGATGAATCGACAAGCACTTTCACACGGTTGTTTTGCTTCGGCTTTACCATCCGCGAGTTTTCCGAAGTTTCTGGTAATCAATTAAGTCAGGATTATTAATTTATTCGTAAATTAATGCGATTCACGGGGAAACTTCGTTGGTATGTTTTCAAGTTCCGAGGAGTTTATGGAATTACGTCACAGAGGGCACGAAGCTGACTCTATGGAACGGCTTAATACGTACCGACCGGTGGCGGGCTCGCCACTTTTTCTTCGTCGCTCTCGACTTCCATTCGTTGAACTGATTCTTTACGTAACTTGGTAATTTTTGGTGATTTTGGTTTTTCCTTTACTTCATCATCGGATTCGTCGCTCTCAACTTCTATTCGTTGGGCTGATTTCCTAGGCAACATGGCAGGTTTTGGTGAGTTTGGTTCGTTCTCTACCTCATCGTCGGATTTGTCGCTTTCCACTTTCATTCGTTGCGCTGATTTTTTAGGCAACATGGTAGCTTTTGATGATTTTGGTTTTTTCTTTGCTTCATCGTCGGATTCAGAATCCAGGGAAACTGATGGCCCCGGTTCTACAGTAAAATACACGATAAAAATATTTTGTTAAAGGCTGATAATGAATTAAAACTATATGCATACCTCTGGATGCAAAATATTTTTTAATGTTTTCCAATGCATCAACGTCGTCGTCACTTTCATTGATTCTATCCAGCTCTAATGTTACCTTGCGCCGGAATGGTCCTGGCTCTATAATAGGCATAGAGAAAATTAAAAGATTCGGTGTTATAGATCTTAAATTTAATTTCGTATAAAGAATGTGTTGCTTGAGTAGATTGAAGATTGAAGATTGAACAATATTAACTTATGTAAATCCGTTTCCGAATTATCAATAAGTGTATTTATTGCTACCAAAAAACTAACTAGTACAATCAAAACACAGCTACGAATTTTATAATTTTTGTATCTATTAATTCATTCATTTCCTAGATATATAGTTTACACATTAATTTTCAGTTTATCGTAAATATATATACAGTTAAGGTAAACAGGCAAGAATTAGTTAATTTCATCGAATTTCAGATATCGGAGAAATAATATTAATTAAGTACAATTGAAAAGTAAAAAAGAAGAATACCTTCAGCAATGAAATTTCCTGCCAACGCAGACTCGATAAGATCGCAACGCTTTTGAATGGACGGTGTAAGCATATTAGCTGGTATACGCCAATAAGATTCCTGTTCATCAAACGGAGGTGTGAATCCCATAGCTCGAAGAAGCTTTTGAAAGCTGGGCGAATCCATCGCGGCGGACGAATAATCTGTCAGTGGGACTAAGGGAATACCTTCGGTGCTTTCCTCGTCTCGATCGTCCAGGATATCCTGCAGGGATTCCTTAATCCATTCCAAAGCCTCGTTCATATCTGATTCACGGAGAAATTTATTACATTCTTTTTTCAAAAATTCAGTTCCGTTGTTTATACTTAAAAATCAGTGGTAATAAACATATTCCAAAAACAAACAAAATTATAAAATACAGTATTAATTTTTGTCTTTAACCGTCATTAAAAAAAGTTAAAAGTTTGTATCTTTCTAACACTAATCAATATTAACAAATAACAACGAAGACATTATCATTTGCACTTCATTATTTCACGTAGATTAGTTAGTTCATACGTTGACTGCCACGAGAACTTTCTAGCGTTTAATATAGTACTTATTATTTCATAACAATGGAAAATCGTATTAGAAATAATTACTAACGATTTGATATCACAGTACTCAGTACACTATCATCTAGCTACTTACGTTACTAAACGTTTTTATTCGACATCAATCTCCCTATTACAATTGTTCTCAAGCAATTTAGAAGCTCCAGTCATCGTTGACCGCGACAGTCAACGCGTTAACAACGGAAAAGTAATGTATCGCCATCGAAGAAAAAGAAAAATAATCCCCCCGTGACGCAGTGGAACCGAAATTCAAGAACACTTTGCGAAAACGTGCTCCCCTTTGACACGTAACCGAGATCAGGGACCTTTTCCCCTGATAGGTGACAAGCACCTTGGCTTGACACAAAAGGGTGCGAAGATCGTTTTTTAAGGATGTCCTTTTGAAAATCCAGGGGGCGGATAAACTTCGTAACGCGGGCCACATTTGTACCGCAACCAGGAGTCTTGACACGCCATTACTTTTGCCGAGTTTGCTGTTTTTCAAAACGATCGCCGTTTTGCCCTCTCTTTCCTGCGTGCACATGCCCACCCCAGCTCTCTAAAAGGACATTTGTCCTCCAGCGGCGTGTGCAAGAAAAGGCTGCGCAATATTCGATGTTGTTGTCCAGAATTTTCTTCTCATAAATCACTGACGGCACAGCTAGCAAGGCTGACAAAAGAAAAGGCGGCACGGTGTTACTCACTTTTTTCGATGACATCCTTCAAGAATCCAGATAATTGTGCATCCGTGTAGACCACGGTCGGCTCTTTCTTCCTGCCAGTCTTCGTTTTCCTGTTTGTTGGTTTATTGGGAGCCTTTCTGCTAGGTCCCGGGGATTTCCCAGCTTCTTCGTCGCTGCTTTCATTCTCGTCTGAATTACTAACAGACTGTGTTTCCCACGACGATTTCCCTTTTTACAAAGTACGCGGAAATGGATATAAATTTCGACGATATCGTTCCTCCTCGATACCGAGTTTACTCGATTCCCGTTGAAAACGTATTGATGATATCTTGACGAATTTTGCGTGGAATTTTTAATATTGCAAAATGGTTCTTCTTGAATGAGAAATATTTAGGAAATTTAAATGCTACTATAGTAGGATGAATCGGCTGGATTATAATAGGAAAATGAACAAACTTGACTCGACTAATATTGTTCAAGATAACAATTTATAAATGTAGCTTGTTTCTAGAGAAACAAGTGGAAATTTGAAATTCGAAGGTCTGTATTTTGTGAATATATTCTACGTTATGACTTAAAGCCCCTTTCGTTTCACGTGGACCATGACGTATTTCATTTTGAATAAAATTCTCGACAGCGGTGTTTAGAAGTAACCAATTTTGTTTGGAATGGCCCAGATGTTTCAATTGTATTATTATTAAAAATTATATTCCACACGCACCGCTAATGTTTTATATATATACATGTTGGATAATTAAATTTGTTTTCGACAAAATCGTTGAATATAGCATTGAAATTCCTTCAGGCGAACCGAATGTGTTTCGCTATGTTCAGCGTATTTACATGTAGTATAAACGTATGAATTCCCACTGTTACTGAATATAGCTTCCTTCTCGATGCTTTCTCGAAAAAGGTGCTCCAAGTGAACAATGTTTATTGTACGTTCTCAAATTATTTTTTAAATAAAACATCAATACGTTTTTCCAGCAATTGCCAGTGAAAATTAAAAATCATGTAAGAGTAAAAATATTCAGACCTTACCTTCTGATCACACAATTTATCCTTATGCAAATGTATCAAGATTTACGGAAAATTGAGGAAACTTAATAATTTATAATCGCGCTGATATCTATAAAAATTAAATCTTCACGGAACAATTCCCATGAAAACGAATGACGCTCAATTATCCAGAAACCGGAAATTGACATTGAAAATTGTCTGTTATTCGTGTCGACGGTCATAAAACGTTTCAGCCGTCATACATGCGATATTAAGATCCGGCGAAAACGTACCAGGCGTACCGCGTCGCCAGATCGCATTCAGTCCACGACTATGAACGCGCTTGGAAACGTTATTTCAATACCACGTGTAAGTCGAGACAAAGCTTTGCTTCTATATTTCATCTTCTAACCTTGTGTACTGTATGCACGATACAATTTATCTTTACGCATTCAATGGAAATAGACCGTTTGGTAAAGAAAGAAACAGAGAGAGTGATGGAGAAGGAGAGGGAGAGGGAGAGAGAGAAATGAAATTCGTAGAGCAAAGTAATGGTAAACGAGGACATGTCATATTGGCCCCGGGGGTCAGGAAAACTACGACCGGAATACAAGTCCTTCGATATTAAATAACAAAATTTGTATTCCGTGACGAGTCTGGCGGAGACCGTTCACGTTCCCGCACACAGCGTTGGGACAGAAATGCAAACGTTATTTCAATAGTGTTGTCTATATTCATGCCGTTCGATGTGCTGTATGAACCGCATGACTGGACCATCCCGATTCTTTTCGACTCTACTGGACCGTTACATTTACTTCTTTATTCTACTTTAACCACTCCGTAGAAAGAAGCCAGTCGGAACATTTTGGTAAACCGTGGTTGACGTCGCAAGCCATCCAGGAAAATACAAATATTGGATAAGACATGATAAACATTACAATCCAATTCAAACACGCTCAACCTTCCAAAGAATAAAATATTTTTCCCTTCGACTCTCATCTTTATAACACACTGTATTAAACGTAGAATTCAGAGAATATTCATCCTAATGTTCACAATAAATCCCGTTGATCAATATGTAACAAGAATAACTAAAAGCAAACACAATCTCTCTAAAAATGAAAGCTATCTAATAAAAGATATGAAACTAAAAGCTATCAACAATACCGGTGCCACACCTTTCCCCACAATCTCGCGTGGGACCCAATTAATTTGTTGATGACGGTCCATCAAGTATCGAAACAAAGTCTGTGTAACCTGATCTCCGACGACACGGGTAGAACGTTTTTTCCTAGATCATAAAGAAACTACAGGGGAGAGTCCTACAAGAAGATTCGGTACAAATTGATCTCCCCTTTCATTTCCTCTCGAACAGCGGCGGTTCCCCTCTTTCCCGTTGCTTTTATTCCCTGCCTGCATCCGGGACCCGGGTCTATGCAGTCGCTAGCAATCGTATTAGCAGAAGACTGATCGAATGGGAATAGTCGCAGAATCTGAGGATAGTAAGAAAGACAGATGCGAATGGAATGGGATAGGATGGAGCAGAACAAGGAGTGCTTCACATCTCACCGCTTCAGATCGGCAGGAAGGGTTGGGGAAAGAAAAAGACGGCTAGACAGAGGCAAAGAGAGGGAAAAAGAGAAACGAGTATAGAGTGAGGCTGAACGGGGTGGGGGGAGAAAAAGAGAGGAAGAGTGGAACACTTACCGTGGTTGCTTTTTCTGGATCGCTTCTTGCGTAGCTCCTTTCGATCCGCAGCCAATCCTAATTCTAAAAGCTTCTCCTTGATCTTTGGCTTCGGACGCTTTATTGTGAGCCCATTGAAGATCATATCCACGGGATCTATTGTGCAAAACGTAAACCGTATCGGCATTAATTCGAAGTCGAACGTGGGAGGAGATGCCTCAATTCGATCCGATCGCAGCCGTTTTCAGTGTAATAAGCAAGGGGCGGGGAGTGGAATTAAATTAGCGAAAAGGATATCCATTTTCTGATAAGCGAGACGTACTTGCTTCTGACGGCTCGCTCTTTACGCGGAACGGCAGAATCGAACGTTAGTTTCCGATTAAAAATAGTCCCGTCGAATGACAGCTTGTTTCAGAGATTGTGATCTTCGAATTTTCTTAAAGGGATCGAGGAAAATAGAGTAATATAGAAAATATTGGCCTCGGATTTTCAACGACGAAAGAAAACGTGTCGAATTGGATTACCTGTTCGAGTCTTCAGATTTTGGATTTTGTGATTTCGAAGAATTGAGCGATAGAACATAGTATTTATAGTAGGGAAGCTAAAGTTTTCTGTTAAACATAACGTGTTAAATGAAAATTTTATACGTGATAATATATTATATAGTATTATCACTGTATGGAACTGTATATATGATATATTTAATAATTGAAACATTTTTTGTTTAGTATAAAAAGCAATGCCCATGTTAAGATTTAAGCAGCAAGGGAAAAAAACGAAATTCAAACTCTTGAAACAGTGAACGAAAAAGTTGCTAGGGTAATATGTTTTGGGAACTTTCGTTCAGCACGGGAGAAGAATTTCGAGTGATAAAGTCGGGAGAGAGACAAAGTCATTGCACGGAAATGAAGCAAGTTCTACAAGACTTCTGAAAATCCTTCTATCAGCGGGGATATTATTCTTCGTCCGCATCGGCCGGAGTCCGAATTATTGCTATAGGTGGCAGCCAGCCGTTACCGATGCCCGGCGCTTAATTAAATCTCGAGAATCGTCACCGGTGCTAATGAATTCCCCGGGTGAGCATTCGTAAAATTTCTCAACTGTTTCAAGGTACGGCCACCCAGCTATAAGATGTTCATCGCTCCTGGGACTCATCTGATAAAAGTTCTTCAAAAATTACCGTCATCCTCTTTCCGCAGTTCCCAGAGCTCTGATAGTTGAGCAACTTCTTCCTCGGACCATTCTTTGGGTAGCCTCTTTTGTATTTCGCTACGTACATTCTGGAACAATTTTCGTAATCTTCATAGAAAAACAACGTTCTTTGCGAGTATCTTTTTCCGTAAAACGATAAATTCTTAAAACGCGCAACGTATTTTGAATGCACGTTTATGTACTCATTATTTAGTTATAAATAGTTTAAAACATTTATTTAATATACTTTTAACTAACTAACTAATATACTACACTAATATACTTTTCGTAGCAGATATCAAATACAGGAAAATTGAATTACTAACAGTTTGTATACTAAATTCGATGATTACCATTCATTGTAAAATTCAAAATTATATTTCTCACGAACTCTCCCTTACATACGCAATTATTATTAATTACACGCAATAATAATATAAGTGTTACAGTTTACAGACAATGAAAATTGTATCATTTATATTATAATGAAGTGCACTTAATACCCGCTACAGCGACAGCAGTGTTATCACACTACCATTTCACGTTGCACTGCAATCACAAATTCTAATTTCAAAAACACGCAGAGACCATTCATATTTTACAAATTAAACATCGGAAAATCTACTTTCGACGCGTTGAGCTCTTCGAAAAACAAAAGTTTTCAATTTCTCGTTTCAATTATAAACACAAGCTCGACAATTTTTCATCCGTTGATTCTATGAAGCAATTCAGTTGACCTTTACACGTTCGGAAACAAGCCCGACAGCAATTTATTGCTCGAGCGGGTCACGGAAAAAAGTATAAAATCTTATTCCCGGTCTGGGGCCCTCATTTCTCCTAATAGAGATAAAGGGGAAAAAATAAGACGGTTGTTTTCCGATGATTACGTCTCACCACCCCCAAGAGGATTTTCCCTCGGTTGTCTTAAATGGCTGTCGCGTAACATCGCGCGACTTCCCCGACTAAATGAATGTCAAATGAACACTCCCGGCGCAGAGACCGGCGGGGCTTAGTTTAGAGGAATGAAAGGTACCCACGCATGAAATTATTTAAATGAAACGGTTCCGCGGCTAAGACCCAGTTTCATGGATTTCTCTGGCGAATCAATAACATGTACCATCCCCTCAACCCCATCTCTACTTCGCTTCCTCTGTTCCGTGCCGTTCATTTGCGTGGCTAAATCTTTAGACCGCCGAGAGGAGGAGCCATTCCCGGGCCTCTATGGTTCAATAGACATTGCCCGAGCATTGTCATCCGTGATCGACTTAGGACGTCGGGCGCAAACACTGCTTAGAACTTTGTTTCACTGTTTCTCCAGCCTCTTGAATAGACGCTGGACAATCAATACCGAAGATACACTTTATAATAATATCTTTGTAGACAGATATCGTTGGGATTAGCGATTACGAACAATGGAACAATTGAATTTTTTATGTATTTCATTTCATTGCGATAAATATGAATGTTACACGAGTAAGGAGATATTTGTTTGGTAATTTTAGACTACAATTTGTACTCTGTAAGTAGAATTATCGCAACCAATGAATTAGTAAAGATGTATGTTAAAATGATATGGTCGGATGATCTTGGTCAGTCTATAATTAGCAGTATCTAATAAAATGGGATTCTTCCCACGTTCCAGAAACTTCGCTAGAGAGGGTTAAACTAACCCCCTAAAGAGACGTTATTCAAAAGATAATCTGACATTAACGGGAACGCTTGTGTTGCACAAGTATCGTTTCGTAATATTTCAGTTTACCGTGATCCTCTATCCTGTTCATCATAACGGTAATAAAGTTCGCAGAAATAACAGCGTTCCGACGGCAGGCGAAGCGTATTCAGCCTGAAATTTAATTATCTCATGAAACCTAGCAATTAGAATAGTTTAACCATCAAAGTTTCGATCGTTTATTAGGCAATACATCAAGCTAACGGAACATTCGCCCACGAAATCCCCAAAGGGTAGGTCCGCACGGAGATCCGACCGTAAGAATCCGTCAAGGAATCAATAACAGCCCAGAACAGCCGACTTTGCTCTCCCCTTAGCTCGAATCAGTGGTGTGGGAGCAATCAGCTTCCTTTCCTGGCGGCGCAGCGGGTGCACACCTATGATTAATCGTCAATTTCGAAGTGGGGTAATACCGTTTTAACGGTAGTCAGATATATCGTCGCCTTACCCCCATCTATCCCTCTTACTTTCCCTCTATTTCTCTTTGGCGCACGTGCTTCCAGGCTCCCCAGCCGCCTTAAACCAGGTAATGTCTCAAGATTATCGTTACAAGGTGTCCCGCCACGGTGTTGTCCGATGGGTTTTCGACAAACGGAAGGCCGTCTTGCGAGGGATAGAGTTAAATTGCCTAGATCCACAGAAGCGAGACAACTATGGATCTCGAAGCCATCGACGTTGCCAGTTTCGAGCCGGAAATTTTTGCTTGAACAGAAATTAGCTGGAAATTGCCGGCTGTTCCTTACAGCTGAAATTCTTGTCGGTCTTCCAGTCGCTTCTGCTTGGAGGTATTAAATATATTTCGAAAATTTAACGTCTTATCCTAGGTATATCAACATTGTTCAAATAAGAAGCTAACTGCCAGATGATTGTCACAGTAGGAATGCGGACAATGATGCTTTATACTGGATCGTATTACATCGAAGTAAAAGTTCAAGTTAATATTTCGTAATGGTATTCCAATGAAAATGGTACTTTGAAGTAGTTCCAGGATATAAACCGATGAAGATATTTTAGCTCACGATCAATATGTAGCGTACGATGTGACAAATTCAACGAAATAGTTGGAAATTGATATTTTTCAAACGATTTTTTACTTCATTTGCTTAACAGGTAACAGGTTTAGGAGTCCGTTACGAGCGGATTTAACGCGCATGCAAATGGTCGATTCTCATTCGCCGGTGTACATTTTCATGTAAATTTTCTTCGAAGTTCCGCGGGTGGCGTTCGTAGTTTTTGGGGCTCGTGAAAATTCTGGTTTTCGGCGGGCTATGCGATACATAATACATGAAACGACAGTCACTTGTCTCGGAAGGTTTTGTTTAAAATCGTACTGTAACTAGCCCTGCAAAGTTGTCGCATAAAGGATTATTCAAAAGCTGCTCGGACACGCGGGAAGCGGGAGACAAGTATCTGGTACAACAAAACTCGTTGAAATCTCAGTTACTGTGCGCCGCGCTGTGTTAATTCGCCGCCCACCTTTCCGCCTGTAATAATCTTTTCCATGCTCATTGTCGAAACATTCGAAACGAACCGATGATCGTTCACCTATTCCGCGAACATAATACAACGACTGAAACAGTCTACTGTACTGTACTTAGAAAAAAGCGAAACTGCGCTATACTGTGCGGGAGAAACACAATTATCTTTCTTTACCTTTCTTTTATGGTTCTTCTTACAATGGCTTATGAAAATATTTGAACGCTCGAGGTGGAAAATGTTCACTCTCGAAATACTTTGGTTTTACATTTTCAAATAGTCCTCGTACAAGGTCGAAGGATTAACGCCCATTATTGGGATAAAAGAAAATCAAATAAAATACCTTCGTTGTTATTGTTTAAATTACGACTACTATTGATAGTATAATGAACAAATATTATGTTTCCAGTTGAACGAATGTTCTGTTTTACTATTAACTTTCATGATTCATTAACTGTTGATATTTCCGTTGTTTTCAGCACGTATATTTTGTGAATTATTGTTTTAAATCTCAAATTGAATTATAGCCAATAATAAAAAGTGCATGCCAAATATTTCTGTAAAAATTACTTTCAACTATTTTTATAGACTCTGTTTATTCGTCAACCGAACGTTTGATTTTTCAATAATTAATATACGAAACCTGAATAAATGGTATGGGTATGCTAAACTTCGTAAAATATTTATTCCGTACATTTCAACGATTTTGCAATTCACTGTATTTCCAAGCTATTCGTTCGCGTGACTGATTCGTCTGGGCGCGTGAGTCGAGCGGCGCGAAGGGACCCCTCAATAGCAGAAAAAATGAGGGAAATTATTTCCGGGCGCGTGTACGTTCTCGCATTCTTACCGGTGCCATATCGGTCTCATACAATCAGTTTTAACTCTTTCACGTACGGAACAACATTTGAATCCTACTGGTTTCTCTTTTTTACAACTTGTACTTACGATTTTTATCACTGAGAAATCTGACTTGTACGCTTTTCTACGAGAATAGCTTGTAAAATTATATTAGTGTTCAGAAATGGGACAATAATGGATCTGATTGTATTTGTAATTTGGAATATTGAATAAATGGAATAATAAAAATCATTTAACAATAATAATAATAATAATTGTTATTAATATTAATGTTCAAAGTTATATTTCTATTTTTGTATTTCAAATTTATTTTCGTAAAAATGAAAAAGCGTTATTCAGTTTCTGAATTGAAACGAAAGAAGCGCGATTGCACCGCTTGGTATCTTTCAAGCGGGTCTTTGCAAAAACCGGTGGGACTCAAACGGTTTAGTCGAGTTCAACGTTTCATCTTGAATGAAACGGTGCTATATACTAAATACCCTTAAATCTCCGTATAATTTCATTCGAATTTCTAACAGTTCACCTGAATAAAAATTTCTGTTTAAAAATATTCACCAGACAACTTAAAAACAATTATTTCACAAAATAAATAGTCAGATCCAAAAAGGGATTCTGTTGAAACTTGCTAAGTGCACAGCTTAAGTGCAAATGAAACGGCAAAATAACAAATACGTTGACCATCAATCCTTGACACGGTTCCAATAATCGAGAAGTCGAAGCACATATATATATATATATATCAGACAATCGGTATGTACACGCGTAGACGTGCCCGTACGTGCATGCAAACCAACGACGTTTGGCTTCCTGTCCAAAATCTTCATACGCTCCTTTGAAAGGAAAACGCAAACAAAGCGATAGCGTTTCACGGAGCGGAGGGGCGCCGGAAAGGAACACTTGACAGGAGAAAATCTCGAGATACTTTTATCCCTGTACGAAGAAGCAGCGAAGAGGGACCGAACTCTTGCTGGCACAGCGGAAGTTGTGATCCACGCAGCGACAGAGAGGAAAACAGAAAGGGGAAGAAAGAGAAAGAGGAAAGAAGGCTTCTCCTTCTCGAACTGCGGGCCTGGAAGGAGGGCGCGCTATAGAAACCACCTCGAAGAAATTGTCTCTCGAGAATTTACAGTTCCTACAGCAATTCTCCGGCTCCGCGTTTTTTTTGCATACGTTCATCCCGTCAGCGTCGACGGTACAAAATCTTTATTTTTTTTCGTCTTCTCGACGGCCCCGAGGGTTGTCGCACCCACCGCGTTTCTCGCGTTTCTTCTAAATCATTGATTCCCTCACGGTTTCGGTGACGGTAGGCTGAAAGCCACACGCTTCAATGGACTTCGAATATTTTTATTTTTGTAAGTACAGTGTGTGTGTCACAATCGTGGATGAAAAAGTGAGTAGGTAATATCTTTTTGCCTTTATTATGGTCGGTTGTTCAATGAGGCGTTTAAGGATCATGTTTTTTGAGAGGGTGTTTAAGGGATTGAAGATCTATTGTTTATTATTGGAAGTGTTTTTATGGGAGTTAGTAATTGGTATAAAATAATTAGAAATTGGTAATGAGTTATTGTTATGTGTAGATGAGATGGATGTTCTGTATGTAGAGCTATTGAGAAAGAGAGACTCGATGTTTGGTTTTCATGAATTGCTTGTTTAACACTAAAACCATCAGACAGGTTAAATGGCCTATTTCTGATTTCTTTCTTTGGCAATTATTAAAAGATAATAGATGTTTCTCTGAGAAAATATTAAAGAAATTGATTTAGCAATACGCAAACTAAATTGTAAATGAATTAAAGTTTCAATAGGTGCACTCTTGGAGTTTCTATAGAAAAATTTCAAAAAGTCAATTTAGCTGCTCGGTAGTTTTAGTGTTAATTTGTAGTGAAGAGATATGTTTGAAAAAGAAATTTTAATTTTTTGTTAGAGTTGTAAGGTATTTATGCTTGATTCGATGCGTGACACGTTAAGAAAAAGAGGGGAATTTAATAAATACAGTCATCTCTCTTAGCGTCTCGAGAATTACACAGTCTTGGGGTGTGTCAGCTTCAGACGCCACATAGATCAAGTAGGGAATAATCTTGGCCAAATACAGTTACTATATTTTCGTGGGCTACATTCTTGTTTGACTTCGCAATTTCCAGACATTTTTCAATTTAGTTTGTGTAAATATGTGACTAACATACATCATTATACAAAGTATACGAAATAAAGTATAAAAAGCTCAACGTCCCTATGAAATAATTAAGTATTAATTTAATTTGCTACGATTGTTATTAGCACAAAGTATTCATAATAAAACTGCACCTAATATTTGACTTAAACATTTTGAATTTAATTCTTAATAATCATAGACGACAAATTAAAATTACTTTCCATTGAATGAAAACTAAAATATTTCAAATAAGACAATGTAAGTAAAAGTTGCACTGACCTTTGAATTGACAATTAAGCACATTTCCTTCAGCTTTTTAATAATACCACGACGAGTCCTCTCTTGAGTAATATTTTCCAATAACCAGTCAACGAGATCTAAGGAGCAGAAACCAAAAGTTTCTTAATATTTTTCTTTAATTATTTGATACAAATGTAAATGGTACGTTTGTTTTTATGCTTAAAAACCGTACTGTGACGTCGAAAACGCAACGGGCTGCAATTACCGTTTGATAAATATTCATTTTATTTCGGAAAATTGTTGCGTTGCTGAAGTTTACAAATTTTTTTACGATATTTATTTGTTTTTACATTGACGCAAACACGAGTGAATGGCGTTTTAAGGTTGAAAATATTTTTAGCGTTTATAGTCAATCAATATTGTCCGTGAATTGATTCTAAGAAGGGGTGGTTAACTGGATCATCGCTGGGGTACGTGATTCGGTTAGCCGATAAATGAAGACGTTGTTATCAGTAACCTAATATTATCGGTAATTCTCGGCAGTATCTAACAGTTTTGATGCTCAAGATTTCTCAGCTGAAAATAACAAGATCTTATCGGAAGTACTAGATAACGGATTAGTGTCTGCATAAAACTGATTATTCTTCCTTGTCACAAATATCTTTTACGATAGTAACGCAATTAAATTCATTGCTCGACTCTCGAAATAGGAAAAATATGTTACTTTATTTCTTTCGAATTGAATGAATTCCCAAATCCTATTAAACAAAGTTTATCACTTTCCCTCAATAATTCTGTCTTAACTCCGGTACTTCTAATTTTCCCAAATACAAAAATCCGAATTCAGCTGGAAATCTGATTTTTTCGTAACATCGATATACATAATCAGAAACTGATTAGCTAATAAATTAGCGGAACTTTAATCAAATATTCGAAGGAAAAGGAACGACGAACGTATGAGAGGAAAATTGAAAAGAGCCATCTTTTCTCGGGAAAAGAAAATTATCCAGGACACTTGCGTGTTGAAGAAGACTCGTAAATCATAGGATTTCGCGAACACGAGCAACGTACCCTGGGAATACTTGTTAGTCTGATGTTCCATAAAGAGCGTGCGTAACTCGTCCTCTTGGGCCTCGGTCCAGAGACTGCGCGAAACTTTCTTGTTATCCGTTTCCGCGTTGTAACCCTCGACGACCTCGGTCGCGTCACGAGTGGTCTTCCAGAAGAGCAGCTCCATGTATGCCTTCCGATTTTTCTGCGCGACTTCGATGAAACGCCGGATTATGAAGATGGCGAACTTTTGGAGTTCCTGCAAGGTAGACTTGGTTTTCATGGCTGGCGAGAACCGCACTTCCGGCGACCATTAAGCAGACTCCAGAAATGTAAATCCGACGCTGAAGTGCCGCCGAAGTTAATAGAAAAACAGAGTACACAGAGCGCCTGACCGAGTAACAGTTCCGAGTAACGGAGATCGAATGCAAATATTTTCGAAACGCTACTAACGCGAAAACGATAGTGTTAATTTGAAGTTTATTTTTAAGAACTTAATTTTTCACATAGAAAAGTGTTTGGGTCATAATATAAATTTTTTTTTGTAATGAATATTGTTAACCGTGAACTAAGAAAGATTAAATTCTAGTAAGAGTCACTTAAAGCATAAATGTGCATTTGTTTAGAAGGTTAAATGTTAATAACAGTGAAGTGTTTATTGAAAAGCAAGCGATATTGCTACGTTAAATTATACACAATTACCTTGTGGCCAGGATATTTAGAATCGAGGATTCTCTGGAAAACCCGAAACATGGACGCCTGGAACATCATCCCTGGCATTTTGCAATCCCATGCAATTCGATGCAACATCTTGTTAACGTAATGATTCACCTCGTCCGTGTTTTTGTCGAATTGCTGCAGGAGGATTCGTAACGCTTTTACAATTTTTATGTTGGCGAACCTTGAGCAGAAAATTAACGGGATTACTAATTGTCAGTCACGGTACAGAAACTTTGATATTCTTCTTATGATGTTATATCAAGTTTGATTAATCACGAATATTTAATACGTTAAAATCTGATTCAATATCATGTTAATGAAATTTTAATGTTATAATCTATGTTTTCATCATACCTCTGTATAAACTCAGTAAAGTTGAAATTGGCTTCAACCATAACTGTTCTTCTTTCGTCTTCTTCCTCTTCATCTTCCTCTTCATCTAAAATATTATTTTGACCATGTGTTCTCATCAATTACACCCGAGAAAGTACTACACATACCAACTTCATTTTCGCAATTTACCTTCATCATGCTCGGCGTTTTCTTCTTGATCTTCGTTTTGAGTAACCGGCTCATCTTCAACTGTAAAAAAGTACAAAGAAGATTAAAAATAGCATCAAAATTAAATATTCTAGTTACAATCAACAATTTAAAAGATATACAAAAATACAGATATAACCGCTTACAATATGAAATAACAAGGAAATAAAGCAAAAATTAACAATCAAGTTTTTTTACTAGAAACCTAATGTGCGAGTAAAGCGCATTCTTTATTGTTCAATACTATATAGAACACAAAATCGTCATCTAACTATACTACATTAAGACTAAAAGAGCAGTTAAGTTGACTTTTCTAAATTCCTTTATAGAAACTCCAAGAATGCATCTATTGAGACTTCAATTAACTTACAATACAGTTTCCGTGATGCTGAATCAATTTCATTAATAATTTCTCCAAGAAACATTCATTATCTTTTTACTAACTTTTAATATCTATTTAATAAAATGTTTCTTAGAGAAATTATTAAAGAAATCGATTTAGCAACACGAAAACTGTAAGTCAATTAAAGTCTCAATAGATGCACTCTTGGAGTTTCTATAAAGGAACTCCGAAAAGTCAGTTGAACTGATAAAATGATTAAAAAGATAATTTAAAAAAGAAGACATCAGGAATGGATCACTTTGATCCGCCTGGTAGTTTCAGTGTTGCAGAAAAATCACTAGAAAAGGGAACAAGAGAATATATCGAACGAATCGGTGCATCCATAATCTTCCGAACCATCGAGAAAGAGGCGAAAAAGCGGAAACAAAAATGCCCGAAAAGCTCGTTACCGTTCCTTCGCTGGACGAATACGGAAATGGCTGCAAACAATCGCCAAGGTTCGTTTCGATGCAGAACGAATTCGGTAGAGTACAAGCACTCCATTGAAATCCGGTTAGGGAAGGGAATCAATGAATCTCGACTGCCGGTTCGGTGCATCCTCGGGCCCTCCGGCCGCATCGTACGTCGGAGATGGGCTAGCTGGCTTCGGAACCGGCGACCTCCGAATCGTTCGTTAAAATCCGCCGGCGAAAAACCGAGCCACGGGTAAAAAGGTCGCGGTCGGATTAATTTACGAAATTCCGAAAATCGGTGTCGTCCGCGCCTGCCGGAACGGACGCGGGATTCGCACGTACGCGCACATATGTACCGGGTGCGCGATATCAAAAGCTCTTCACTGGTTTTTACGAAATATGTAAAATAAAATGTGACTTTTATTCTTTCTTCATTGACACTAGAAGTACCAGTCGAAACGACTGGTTTCGAGTTATTTGTTTTGCAGTTATTGATATTTTAAAGGAATTGAATGTTCGAAATGATCTTGAGAATAAATAGTTTTACTTGAATATTGTAATGATCGTCCGTGGAAGCTGAAAATAATTGTTATAATTTTTATAGGGATTACATATCAATCGTATTAAATGCTCTATGGTTCCAGTGTTAAACGGGACGGAGTTATAAATATTCGAGCATTTAGAGATTTAAAGACATTATTTTGAATGTTAACCCTTTGTACTTGAAAGCTTTTTGCTAGAAACATTAAATACTCTTTGATAAAATATAGACGATGTTTGTTACTAATGTAACTAATTTAGTCAATAAATTAAGGAACAAACATATTTTACTATGATATTTCACATAGCGATGCACTATATAAAGTTCAATGTTAAACTTCAAAATTTATAATTGTACCGTATCAGATCAAGTGGTGACTGAAGGTCACCTCTCAAATGCAAAAGGTTAAATAAAATGATAAAACAGGTTTTTAAATTTCGGATAGGTGTTAGAAAACTATAAATAAATGTATTATGAACTGGAAATCATTTAACAACACTGTAGGTTTTTGTAAATTGGGTAAAACCTCTGTTGAAGAAGATGAAACGTTATTAGATTCAATAAAATATCATATATTATGAAGATTGTAATAAAAGAACAATTTTAATAATAAGAAAGGACAAGAAGCAAACGTGAACATTGAAGAAAAGCGATGCTGATAGTTTTCGTAGGAAGAACGGTTTATGATATTTTATTTCGAGCACCCTGTACGTACGCGCGGCCACACTGAATCCGATCGAATTCGATTCCGTAGGTTTCGAGTTACGTTGTTTTTTTCTGTTCGCAGCGCGGACGATCCGACGAGCAGCGAATTAAGCGGCCGTGGAAAGACGATTACATTTTCGACGTGTGTAGGACGAGGGGACGAGGGTTTCAAGCCGATGGCCAGAGAAAAATTGCGCGCTGCGGAACCGGCGCGATTGGATCGCGGCACAAAGCCTCGTTACGCGGCAAATTTTCTAAGGCTTCGAAAACGTATCCTTCTGGAAGTTGCGCGCGAAATTTTTCGTTGGCCGCTTTTCGAGCGGGGCTTGTTAACGTTCCGCCGAGTCGCGAATAAAGACTCAGCGCACCGTTGTGTTCATTTGGCGTCGTATTTCATCGGGTTTCACAGGGCTGCCAGGGCATTCCGTGAGGCGAATATAGCTTGTCAAATTATATCAACGGTGATTATTTTTTAAACGACAGACAATGTTGTAATACAGCTTTTGTAATTCGATATTTTTAACTCAAATTATACTCTGTTGTCTTTTGTACTATAAACCTTTTATACTATATCATTATGTATTCGTAGCTTACAAAATTGTGAAAGGAAAATTCACTTGGTTAAATAGGATTAACCATGACTACAAGTTGTCTTTAATTTATTGAAGATTTTAAAAGTAGAAATGAGAAAAACGTTTATAAAAAGATTTCATGGAAGACTCGAATAAGAAATGCATATTTTGTTGAATAAATTTAGTTAATTGTTATGTTGCGTAATGAAATATATTGTATGGTGTTCGTAAGGAAATTTCATTGAAATATCAGAACACTGTAGGACTAAACGTCCTTTAAAAGTAGCAAAGTATTTTAAATCATCGCATAAAGTTTCGTTTCATACTGCTGTGTTGTTACGACCAAAGAAAACTTTCCCCGCTGTCCGAGGAATCCAGTTTGCCCAAGTGACGTAGACGGCGATACTATTTTAACCGAAAGTTTTAATTGTTCCTTTCCGCGGTCTCCTGAACTCGCTGCGAAAGTTCGCAGATAAAACAGAGCGCGCCGGGAGATCTGACGTTCCTTAAATTTAAAAATGTCTTTGTCACCGAAATACTTAAAATCAACCGAGACTGTTCAAGTAACAATAATAATTCACCAAAATATAACTCATTCTCGTAAATAATTTCAATTATTACGTTTACGCACGTGATAATATTAATTATAATATCACCCACTTATATATTATATATATTTCAAAACAAAAAAATATCAATCTTAAACACTTTCAAAAACTTACCAATTTAACAAAAAAATTAGACTTACAAGAAATTACCTTCGAGAAGAAAATTATCTGTAATGTCTTTCTTTATAATTGTTCAAACTAAATTCTAAAGATTTTTTAAATAGAGTCCAATAGAAAAGAAACATTTCTTTATAGAATGCAATAAACATCGTTGGATGTTAATATTACTTACATAATATTCTAAAATATCCGCATGAATGGTCAGTAGATCGAGGCAGACGATTAAACGAAATATTTTAATCGCAAGGATATTACTTATCACTTTTTCACAATCGGATCGGATATTAATTACCGATCTGCATTCATTAGGTTGCTCGCGCACGAAGGACTTAATAACCTCTCGTCTCTTCCGGATTCCATTTCGTAGGAAGCTCTCCATTTCAAATTAATCATGTAGAGGAACGCGCTGAAAAATGTATTCGAATCGAACAAGTGCGATCCTCCAGCTGGTCTTTAAACGCGATTCCTATTACGAGAGCATTCGCTCCCGCGGATTATAGCCGAATCTGACTTATACTCGACTTTCCGGGAGCCTGTGATTTGCGCAAACATTATCCCGTTGGTTCGATCTCAGGAATTAATACCTTACAATATTTATCGCTTCCATTCCGACGCCGACTTCGCAATCGCACACACAAAGCACGTAATTGCAGCGAAATCTCATTTCTTCCGAAACGTAATTGGATTGCACATGAACGCTAT